GCCAAAGGAAAAGAGGAAGACCAAAGAACACATTACGGCGAGAAATGGAGATGGACATGAGAAACTTACGCCAGTTACCCCTCGTGAAGGAGCATAGGCCACTCACCAGCATTCTCCATCCAACCCTGTCCTGGGCAATCCTTTCTAGCTCCGTCCAGTTGTAATTCATCCTTTTCATATCTGCTTCTATATCCGACGCAATGTGTTCTTTGGCCTTCCTCTTTTTCGCTTCCCTTCAGGATTCCAAGTTAGGGCTTGCCTCGTGATGCAGTTTGACGATTTGCGTAATGTATGTCCTATCCATTTCCATCGTCTTTTCCTAATTTCTTCTTCAGCTGGAAGTTGGTTTGTTCTCTCCCACAGAAGGCTATTGCTGATGGTATCCGGCCAGTGGATGTTGAGTATCTTGCGTAGACAGCTATTTATAAATACTTGTACTTTCTTGATGTGGTTGTTGTAGTTCTCCAAGTTTCAGCTCCATACAGTAGAACTGCCTTGACGTTCGTATTGAAGATTCTCACTTTGATATTGGTTGAAAGTTGTTTTGAGTTCCATATGTTCTTCAATTGTAGGAATGCGACCCTTGCTTTGCCGATCCTCGCCTTTACGTCTGCATCTGAACCTCCTTGTTCATCGATGATGCTTCCTAGGTATGTGAAGGACTCTACATCTTCCAGAGTTTCGCCATCAAGAGTGATTGGATTGCTGTTCTCCGCTTTGAATTTGAGGACCTTGGTTTTCCCTTTGTGTATGCTGAGGCCTACTGATGCAGAGACTGCTGCTACACTGGCTGTCTTCATCTGCATCTGTTCGTGTGTACGTGATAGGAGGGCTAGGTCGTCTGCGAAGTCCAAATCGTCTAATTGATTCTGAGCTGTCCATTGTATTCCGTGTTTTCCTTCAGATGTCGAGGTCTTCATAATCCAGTCGACCACCAGAAGAAAGAGGAAGGGAGAGAGTAAACAGCCTTGTCTGACTCCAGTCCTTACTTGGAATGCATCTGTCAGCTGTCCTCCATGCACTACTTTGCACTGTAGTCCGTCGTATGAGTTCCGGATAATGTTGACAATCTTCTCAGGAACTCCGTAGTGTCGAAGAAGTTTCCATAATGTCCTCCTATCTACACTGTCGAATGCCTTTTCATAATCAATGAAGTTGATGTATAGTGATGAGTTCCACTCAACTGATTGTTCGACGATGATCCGTAGTGTTGCAATTTGGTCTGTGCACGACCGATCCTTACGGAATCCAGCTTGTTGATCTCGAAGTTGGGCGTCTACTGCATCCTTCATCCGGTTCAGCAACACTCTGTTGAAGACTTTCCCTGGTATTGACAGTAGTGTAATGCCTCTGTAGTTTTCACATTTGCTCAGATCTCCTTTCTTTGGAATCTTGACGAGGTGTCCTTCTTTCCAGTCCATCGGCACTTGTTCCTCCTCCCAAATCTTTTTGAATAGAAGGTAAGCATGCTTGTGGTTGCTTCGATGTCTGATTTCAGTGCTTCAGCTGGTATGTTGTCGGGTCCTGCTGCTTTCCCGTTCTTGATTTGTCTGACGGCCATTCTAATTTCTTCCGTCGTTGGTGGGTTGACATCTATAGGAAGATCTATGTGTGCTGCTTCGATGTCCGGTGGATTCATTGGAGCCGGCCTATTCAGGAGTTCCTCGAAGTATTCTACCCATCTGTTACGCTGTTGTTGAATTTCGGTGATTGGCTTGCCTTCTTTGTCTTTGACCGGCCTCTCTGGTTTACTGTATTTCCCTGCTAGTTTCTTCGTTGTATCGTGAAGCTGTTTCATATTTCCTTCTCTAGCAGCTTTTTCTGCCGTCGTTGCTAGTTCTTCCACGTATTTCTTCTTGTCGGCTCTAATGCTCCTCTTCACTTGTTTGTTTGCTTCTATGTATTCAGCTTGTGCTTGAACTTTCTCTGCTCGTGTTCGGCTGTTGTTAATTGCTGCCTTCTTGTTCTTCCTTTCTTTGATCTTGTCCAGTGTTTCTATAGAGATCCATTCCTTATGATGGTGTTTCTTTAGGCCCAGAACCTCTTGACACGTTGAAGTTAATGCTTCCTTGATGCCTTTCCAGTTGTCCTCCATACTAGTTTCTTCTTCTTTCAGTAGATCTTGTAAGGCTTGGAACCTGTTGTTGAGAGCTATCTTGAATTCATTGAGTTTGTCAGTATCTCGAAGGAAGGCTGTATTGAACCTTTGTAGTGCTGTTTGTCCACTTGTCCAGTTCTTTTTAGCTTCAGTTTTAAATTGGCTACAACTAGGTGGTGATCTGAAGCTACGTCAGCACCTCTCCTGGTTCTCACATCTTCCATTGTCCTTCGGAATTTTTTGTTGATGCAAATATGATCTATTTGGTTCTCTGTAGTGTGGTCCGGTGAGATCCATGTAGCCTTGTGTATACGCTTGTGTGGAAATATTGTGCCTCCTATGACCAATTTGTTGAATGCACACAGATTTGCAAATCTTTCTCCATTTTCGTTTCTTTCTCCCAGTCCATGTCGTCCCATAATATCTTCATATCCAGTGTTGTCTATTCCGACTTTGGCATTTAGATCTCCCATCAGAATAGTTAGGTCCTTTCTTGGCATTTCTCAATGATTGACTGCAGCCGCTCGTAGAACTGATCTTTAATGTCGTCGTTGCTATCATTGGTGGGTGCATAACATTGGATAATATTCATTAAGATCCCCTCCTTCTTTGTTTTGAATGATGCTTTGATGATTCTGGATCCGTGAGACTCCCATCCTACAAGTGCATTTCGTGCTACTTTGGACAGCATAAGAGCGACTCCCTGAGTGTGTGGAGCATTGTCCTCTTCGTGACCGGAGTATAGCAGCATCTCTCCCGTAGCTAGCCTTTTCTGTCCAGCTTGGGTCCAGTGGGTTTCGCTGATTCCCAGTACTGCTAAGTTGTATCTCCTCATTTCCATTGCTATTTGACTGGTCTTCCCGGTTTCCCACATTGTTCGAACGTTCCATGTACCTATAAAAATTTTTGCTCTGGTTGTTAGAAGGGGCATCGGCCTCGTGGCTTCCGAAGGAACTCGGCTTTCACCATGAAGCGTCATAATTCTTCTAACTGAAGACCTTCTAACTCCCAGGGCAGAGTTTAAATGGTTTGGATTATTTTTTCTGGTAAGCGTTTTTTTAGCGAGTTAGTTTTCTACGGGATGGGGACGCTAACCCCATGCCCAACCCTCCTCCTTTACCCGGGCTTGGGACCGGCAGTAACCTTATAAGAGCTACAGGCGGAGTTGGACATGAGAAAAGTGAACAAGAATTGGATAGAACTAGAAAATAAGGCCCAGGACAGAGTGGGTTGGAGAATGCTGGTCGGCGTACTATGCTCGATTGGGAGTAACAGGCGAATGTAAGTAAGTAATAAGTACCTAAATTGGAGTTTGGTTCTATTGTTAATTTTGGTTCGTAAATTGCAAGTAAGTCGACATACTGTACTTCAATAACGGGAACGTGCGAAAACTTGGACACAACATGTAGTCTGTCGTATGAGTTCCGGATAACGTTGGCAATCTTCCTAGGAAATATGTATTGTCGAAGAAGTTTCCATAACGTCCTCCTATCTACACTGTCAAATGCCTTTCCATAGTCAATGGAGTTGGTGTATAGTGACGAGTTCCACTCAACTGATTGTTCGACGATGATCCACAGTGTCGCAAGTAAGTAAGAGAGGTCCCAAAACAGGGTATTTGAAGATTCTTGGTCGGCGGGCTATGCTCTCAAAGCGGTAGCAGGCCCAAATGGTTAGTCACATATAAGTAATGTCTCAAAGGCGTCGACATTTATTTCAGAAATATTTCTTTAGTTTCTTCAGGTGTATGTCATTTATAACTAGAACAGTAGAAGACAACGTTATGTTTACAACAAATACCTTTAGTCGTCGAATAGGATGTGTGGTCTGGATTAAGAAGTGCTGACGCCACATCTTTAAGGCTTATTCAACTATGCAGATGTTGGGGATGTTAGATCCCCAGAACTAACTTGAATACCTTGTTTTTGTAATTTTATTTTACAAATTTGAATTTCTTGTTTTCGCGCCAAAAGCGCTTATATATATATATATATATATATATATCAGAAGGGGTTTGTGGAGATTTTAGAAATTTTCATAGATTGAAATCATGAGTCAGTTGAAGCTAGACCACCGTCGAAAACCTGAAAGCACTGGACGGCCGTTTCGTCCTAGTACAGGACTCCTCAGCAGTGCGCATCCACGATCCCGCACCCCACGGGATTCGAACCCAGGACCTGCTGGCTTCGCGCGCGAGCACTTAACCATTAGACCACTGAGCCGGCATCCAACGGTGTTAATGTCTCCACAAACCCCTTCTGATAATAATCATCTGCTCACTAGTGACTGACTTTAAGAGATACTCCTGGAGTTCTGGTGTGAAGCCGTTACCAGTGGAGTTCAACCAGGTCTGTTGTGAGATATCACCTCACTGAAGACAATGGTGTACGTTGGTTCAACTTCGTGGATTGGTTGAAGTTAGACATTAACACCGTTGGATGCCGGGCTCAGTGGTCTAATGGTTAATTGCCTGCACGCGAAGCCAGCAGGTCCTGGGTTCGAATTCCGCGGGCTGCGGGATCGTGGACGCGCACTGCTGAGGGGTCCTATACTAGGAAGAAACGGCCATCCAGTGCTTCCGGGTTTTCCATGGTGGTCTAGCTTCAACTGACTCATGATTTCAATCTGTGAATATATATATATATATATATATATATTGCCATTTCGAGCTTGAAATTCACTCTCCAGTAAGCGGGGCTGGGACGCGTCAGAATCGCTAGCTTATTGGTCTTTGATCACATAGTCTTTGTTCCATTCTCAAATTAAGTGAACTCGTAATCGCTACAAACGGCAGATAAATTAAATGGTTAGGAGACAGACTAAGAATTCGTATGTAAGCACATAAATAATCAATAACTATAAATAAACACGGACATTTATACAGTACACACTTTATTCTTACTCTTTCTTTACTGAACACAATATCAAATACTGCTTCCGTTGCATAACCACGTAGAACAGCTAATGCTAAACCAATCATTTTACGTATTTGATGCAGCATAAACGACTGACCAGTAATACGTATAATAGTATATTGATGCTCACCGAGTAAAAATGTTGACATACATTTGGCTGATATAATATATCGATTACAACTGCTATCCGTTGCAAGTCTTGTGTTAAAATTAATCAAAAGAAAAGTTTAAATATCGAACTGAAGAGTACGAAAATAGACTAACAAATAATTGAAAAACAAAGATATAGATTAACACACTTTTGACTTATTGAAAAACATTTTACATCACCCGTATATTGGATGGTTGAAGGTAATCGGCAAAAGCCATGATCCACCAAAATCTCGAGATAGTTGCTGCTCCTCAAGAAAGATTGTGTAATTTTAATAGGTCTAATGATACTCGTGATCTTGGAGCACATGTCATTTAATATCACGGTCAGTTGTGATATTGACACGCTAGTCAACGTATTCAGTTTGAGTCACTACTGTCTATCAATTGTTAGATGTTATGTTCCGACTGTGCATCAAGGAAGGAGTACAATATATATAACTCAACAATTTAGCTACAATTGTTAATCAAAGCAGTATAACCCACCGGTGTTGTAAACTGTTACATGTATTAACTCACTGACTGATTTGTATCAACTATAGCTTCGTTGTTACTCACTGTGTTATATTTTAGGATCTTTCCTTGATATACTGGGCATAGCTCATAAAAGGATAAACCGTATAGTAGTAGTCCATAGGTCAAAACAAACATTACGATAAGAGGAACACGAATGGGAATAGTTTAATACTTAACAATTATACGGTCCAGAAATAGATTCCAATAGTTACCATTCATTATTCTCATCGACCCGAGCAACAGGAGGTCAACAGACTGAAATACTAAGTTATCTGTTTGTATAACTTCATTTTTTCGTTGTAAAATATACTCAATCACTAGTAAACATACAAGCGGTCCATACTATGAATGGATACATTATGTGTACCTAGAACTGCACCAAACATGACCGAAATTACTGCGCGTAACCAACAACGTTACAACATATCATGACCACGTGGCCACCTGCATTTCCGAAAGTGTGCCAACTAGCTCCCAAAAAGTTAGAAATTATTCCGCCAACGAACAGCGCATGGGTATCTCCCTTGTACATGGTTCCTGAAAGGGACAGCAATGATTGGCGTCCAACTGATGATTGTCGGCGAGTGAATACGGAAATCACTCCCGATTGCTATTCCTTGTAGCACATTCACGATTTGACAGCTACCCAAAAAATGACTTTTTCGAAAATCGATCTTGATAGAGGTTATAACCACATTTCCCTTGGCTGCTGACAACATTCCTAAAACCGCTACCATCACTACATTCGGACTCTACGGAATTTTGCATACGTTTTTCGGTTCCTGAAGTGCTGCTTAAACTTCCCACAGATTCATCGACGACGTCTTTAGAGTTCTCAACGTCGAGTGTATATATATATATATACGACTGCTTGATCGCATTACCGGATGGAGAGTCTCACCTCCAGAATCTGGACCTTGTTCCGATACAACTTCAAAAACACGGCATTAATGCAGCTATTAAGAAGTGTTAGATTTGAACCGACTCTCTGGATCTTCTCGGACACACTATTGATGTTCAATGCATCCACCATCTGAAAAGCAAAATAACGGCCATTCCGGGTCACCCAGAACCAACCACAGTCAAGCGAATACGTACGTTTAACGGCTTGGTCAGTTTTCATCGATGGTTCATATTGAATCGCGTCTCTCATGAGACGCTTAACAGATCAACTTTGTGGAAATGCGAAACTCATTAACTTGGACGCCAACGCGTAAAAAACATTCTCCACAGGTAATGAAAGTATCAATAAATCAACTACTTACGGACACCAGGACATCAAAGCACCCCTCGTGGAACATAGATCGCCAACTGGAAATCCTCAACAAACACTGTCCTGGGCTCTTCTCCCTGGAACTTCCCAAGTGTTGTCCATTCTTTTGGCGTGTCTGAGGTTTCAGGGGCAATGTGTTCTTTGGTCTACCTCTTTTCTTTTTACCTTGAGGATTCCAAGTCAGGGCTTACCATGAGGTGCAGTCTGATGGTTTCCGCGATGTATGTCCTACCCACTTTCATCGTCTATTCCCAATTCCCTCTTCAGCTGGAAGCTGGTTTGTTCTCTCCCACAGTAGGCTGTTGATGATGGTATCCGACCAACGGACATTGAGTATCTTGCGTAGGCAACTGTTTATAAACATTTGTACCTTTTCGATGATGGTTGTAGAGTAGTTCTCGAAGTTTCAGTTCCGTACAGTAGAACTGTCCTGATGTTCGTATTGATGATTGTGACTTTGATATTGGTTGACAGTTGTTTTGAGTTCCATATGTTCTTCAACTGTATGAATGCTGCCCTTGCTCTCCCAATCCGTACCTTCACATCTGCATTAGATCCCACTTGTTTATTGCTGATACTGTCCAGATACGCAAAAGTTTCCACCTCTTTCCAAGCTCCATCAAGTGTGATTTATTTGTTACTTACTCTTTCTTTTTCTGTTGTTTGTTGAGGCATGCTGCCACTACACTGGCTTTCTTCACCTACATCTGTTGATGTGTGTGTGGGATAAGAAGGGCTAGGTCATCTACGAAATCCAAATCGTCTAGTTGCATGCAAGTTGTCTACTATACCTCGTGCTTACTCTTTGATGTGGAGGTTTTTGTAATCCATCTAACCATCAGAAGAAAGAGAAAGGGTGAGAGTAATCACCCTTGTCTTCACCCTTCTTTACCCGAAATGGAGGGATGAGCTTGACAGATTCTTAAAATAATAGTATGATCTTGAAGCCAGTTTTCAGCTATCAAGTGTTACTCAATCATAAATATTTGGTAAGAAAATAATGGCTTTCGGTAGCTTTAAGAAGTTTATTGATTTTTTAGGGCTTGGTTTCAATTTCCTAATCTTGATATTATGGAAATAACCTAAGTGCAAGTATATATGTAAAAAGCTTTTGTCAACTTTTTATGTGTATGATATCTTGTGCCCTAACACAGAAGAGTTAAGAAAAGCCCATTTATATTTCCATTACATATTTACTGTAGTTTGAATATTGAATCTTTCATGTATACAAATGTGTCAGGCTGAATGAATCCATTTCTGCATCTATTCCTTCATTGATCAATAACTTATGTATCCATTTACATTGACATTAAAAACACATATATATTCCTTCTCTCCTCTCATTTTTGCGCGTGTGCCTCCTAATTCAATGTTCTTCTGATCTAATTAATTGTTACTAGGTGCCCTCACAACACAACTCGTATTCTGGGTATTATTGAGGGAACAAAAGGATACTTGCAGAATTAGTCTGAAGTAAACACGCACCTAAACGGGTCAGTAAAATTTGAAGTCAATCAAGGAAAGCAAACATAAATTATTCGTTTTTAAGTGTACTTTCTTTATTTTCCCTATAGCCATGAATAGTTTTTTGGGATGTTCATTATCGCCTACTATTTCATTACTAACAAATTCACTGAAAATGTGATGAGACGGAGTTGTAGACAAACCATTGTTTTCTCCATGTTTATATGAAGAAGTCTTATGTTGAAATCATTACATGTTCTGCTATTCTTACCTCTCCAACTCGTTTCCCATTTACTAATTTTTTTCTGACTGCACTGTAAAGAATGTAATCTAAAACAAAACTCGAAGGTATGTAGGTATCAGTACCATGGTTTGACATGATAATTTCAAATAAACTAAACATTGGGTGGTTTATTATTGATTAGAATGAAAATACACTATTGACATCCCAAGTTGTGTAAAAATTCGGCATTTAAGCCTCCCATCAGAATGGTCAGGTCCCTTCCTGGGCACTTCGCTAAGATTGACTGCAGCCTCTCAAAAAACTGATCTTTATCGTCGTCATTGTTATCATTGTTTGGTGCATAACATTCATTGTGATTCCCTCCTTCTTTGTTTTGAAGGATGCTTTGATGATTCTGGGTCCACGAGGTTCCCATCCTATGAGTGCTTTACGTGCCTCTTTGGATGTCATCAGAACAACTCCGTGTGTGCGGAGCATTTTCTTCCTCGTGACCTGAGTACAGCAGCATCTCTTCCGAATCTATTCGTTTCTGTCCACCTTGGGTTCAATGGGTTTCACTGATTTCGGCAGCTATTTGTTTGGGATTCCTTGTCTCTTTGATTGTCCGAACATTCCATATACCTGTATTAAATTTTGCTCTGGTTGTTAGAAGCATCGACCTCGTTACTTCAGAAGAATATCGACTTTCACCATGAGGGTTCATAATCCTTCGGAATGAAGATCCTTCAACTCCCAGGACAAAGTTTGAATGTTTTAAATTGTTTATTCAGGTTAGTGTTATTTTCGACTGTTTTTTACTGGATAGAGTTGCTGATCTCATGCCTAACCCTCCTTATTCACCCGGGTTTTAGACCGGAAGTAGATCTAGAACAGCTACAGGCGTAGTTTAATATTCTGCCTACGTACAACAAAGGAAATTAACATGTTCTAAAAACCCGCTACAAATACTTTAGGCTCGGATAGCTCAGTGGTAACGTCTCTGACTGTGAAGCTGGGTGACACGAGATCGAATCCGCCAGGGAGCACCAGTTCCCCCAAGATTACAGGTACACCTTGCTGACGAGTGCCAAGTAGCACGAAACCCGGGTCCAGGGTCTCCTGTTGACTACCTCCAACCACCATCTAAATCTCAATACATAGTGCCCGCAGTGTCGAGTCACCTAGACTGGTGGCCACATTGCAACATGATCGATAGCATTCGATCTGCACTAATAAGGACTAGACAAGCATGACATTGATCACCACCCAGTGATCAATCAATTGTGACTTTAAGCAAGTATTTGACTCAAAAAATCTGATGTAGTTTGGAGTCTACATAAATCTATTAATCGGGAAACGACCTAGTGGCTAAAGTAAATTCCTTTCACGGTTTCAAAATAGTCCTATTTAACTTAGTCCAGGGGGCAAAATAGTAGTATCTCTATCCCTCGTATAAACATTGTTGCTCAAAATCAAATACGTAAACCTGTGTCCTTGACGAACGAGCAACTTAAAACAACTTAATAAATAAAATTATGTATACGGTAGGTAATCCTAAATACTGTCATCATACAAGCTGTTAGAGGTATGGAGGTACCTGAAAAGGAAATTGGATGAGTGTTGGTCTTGACGACCTGGGAGCGTGACCGCAGAGCCCAGGGAACAACTGCTTGAGGCCGGTCGCGCACGGCCTTTTTGTGGAAGGTTTTTGACGTGTTAGCTCTGTTCTTCGAAGGGCCTTACCGCCGGAGACGGATATCCGTGAGGTAAGTTGAGGTGTGACATTTTTAGGGTCGACCTTTTCTAACCCCACCCCTCCTTGTGGGAAGGCAGCATCGCTGCAATGCTGGTTGTCCGAGGGAAGCACCTTACTGCCTTCACACCTCTGTACAGTCAGCAGTACGACTTCGCCTTCGGACCTTGGGTTTGTTGCTTTTAGTCTTACCGCTCTTCAACCGACCTGTCTGACATGGTAGGACCTTGAGAACGGTTGTTCCAGCCAGTATAGCTCGGTTGCTTCATCACGATAGGCAAGCCCGACCACCACGTCAAGGTAGCAACAACGGTCGGGAATCATACAAGAAAAAATAGTTGGTTTCTACAGTTGTGATATTAGTTTTTCGTCAAGGGTTAAAAGCTACGGATGGGTGAGAAATAAAGCGTAGAAAATTTCAGACCAAGTGAAATTTCTGCTTTAGTGTTTTCGTGAAGGGATAACATAAAAAAGAGACTTATATATAAATAATTCATCTGGGATTTAATATTTAGTCTATTGATTCAGTATGTATTCAAGACATTTTGGTATTTATTGAACCGATATCTATACTTAACCAAATTTCCCATAGTCAGCAGTTAGCAGTCGACTTATACTTTTTGTGAGTGGGAGATAATGATACTAAATAAGTGAAAAATTGTTTAATCTATGATTCAAATCGAAAATTTCAGCGGATGCTCAAGTAAGTACACTAACAAAAAAAAGTTCTAATTTCAGCACGACTATGAGGAATAATTATCAGTGTGTCAGAACTTAATATTTAATTTGATGCTAAATGCTGACTAGCTTAGGCGTAGGTTAGAGAAAAACGAAAGATGACCAAACCAAAACGTGGCATTTATTCACAAGGAAACGGACTATCGATCTGAACTATATTGGCAGCTGCAGATTATCTAGATGAGGTCCAAACGTAAGCTGTAATCATTGGTTAGGGAAATCAGGTAACATTATTCAAAAAGGACTATAACGACGTAGATTAATTTATTATTTATTATCTTCTATATCGGCTGATAATGCAGTGTATTTCCATTTGCTGAGGCTGTGCATGTATGTTTACGTATACCTAACCACCGGCTAACTAGACGAATTATGCTTCCTAATGGAGGAGTATGCTGTCAAACCAAGGCGATATCAGTTCATGAATTCATTGATAAGTGAACCGAGCAATGTAGGCAAGCGCAGATTACCTGGTTGAGGTCCGAGTGATCATCGTAACTAGTGGTTAGACTTTGAGTGACATGGCTCAAAGACGTTTCTAATGGCACACATCTATTCACTCTTTATCCTCCTTCGATTCTTGAATTATGAAATCTCACTAAAACTTTCCTGTTAGGATAGTCGGAAAATATACCAATAATTATCGTGTTAAATCTACGGTGGCCTTGAACCTTAAATGTACATTTCTTATTGGTCGATGTTTATTTCACATGTTAAATATTTTGTAAATGTTGTTTCCTATTTTATGGTACGATGTGGTATGCTTGATTGGTATATAAACAAAGTATGTTTGAAATATAATGATTCATGACTCAGAGGCTGTGACTTGCGTTCTTGACTCAACTGGCTAGGACAGACTGCGAAGCGGGACCAATCAGGGCACTAGGTCGTCCATACGTGTTTTCCGTGTCCACTGTCACAGAGGCGATCGATAAAACGCTGCTTATCAAAACCTGCAGTCTCTCACACGTTACAACATTTTCGTTTCTTTTTCCTATACCTAATCTTTTCTACTACTTTGAGATTGCTAATTTTATTTCGTTGCAGTGTGGCAACTTCAACCTACCCATAGGTTCTATGTTGAATATGGACGGAATTTAGGGAATCTCGTGTACTTTTTAAGCAGTTTCGGCAAACAGAAATAAGATGTCTGTAATTGGATGCAATTATCAAACATAGGTTTATGCATACATTTTAAGTGTTACGGCTGATGATATTACCTCACTGCGAGTGGAGTGACATTTGAAACTGTGACCTACTATTGCTTTTAAGGCGTGCTTTAACCACTAATCAAACGACATAGGATGATCCCAAACATCAAAAATCAGGAGTTAGCAAGGTTACCTCAAAATTGCAAGTCTGTGACTAGATTTATAAATAATTTAATTCTCGCAATGATAGTGACTGACTAATCAGGAACAGACAAAAGGAATTACTTTGAATATTCAAATAATGACTAGAGATGATCTAATCTTTTGAAAAAATCATAAACACAACGAGAAGTTGAGAAAATGTGATTCTATAAACCATAACTTACCTTCCTGAAGTGAAATTATAAAAATTATGAGTACCCATATACTTTTCAAGTAAACGATTAACATGTGTAATTTGTTCAACTGTTAAACGATAAGTCCAACAATTGGAATCGTTTAATAATGAAGTAGCAGGTGATAAGGCGAATGTAGGTAATAGATAATCATAAATTCGATGTGTACACGAACCGTATGAAGAAAACCCACGAGTTACGCGAATAATATCTAAAAGGCAAAAAACGAAATACAAAGCTGTACACTCAGAAAGTATATATATATATATATATATATATATATATATATATATAATATATATAATAATATATAATATATATATATATCTATCTTGTTACTCAATACTGGATCCTTGAAGGGTTGTGCTGTCACCTTTACTATTCAAGGATTCGACCTAACACCTTAATTTTTCTGTGCTTCTTGGGTACGGCAACTTGAACTGATGTACATGCATACCAGTTTCTACGTTATGACAGATCATTTCAGCTTTTTCATCTGCTACTGATTATCAGCTTTTTAGTCTGTTTGTAGGCCGCTGGCTGTGTGATTAAACCGTTCGATGTCCAGTTTCTAAATCTAGGGTTTGAGCCTTGTTTTTTTGTCGAACTAGGCCTCACAAGTATGGGAGTGGAAGCAAAGTATCAGAGCATTTGTTAATTAAGTTTATTTGTTTAAACACATAAACATTGGTACAAAGAGGCACCAAACACATATGCGCCACACAAATCTCATTTAATATGTGTGAGGGCTGTGATACTGCCCGGGTGCTCAAACCGAAGCAATAATGGTGGCTCAGTACAAAAATCTTTACATGGTTATTGAGTTGCGGTACGAAACTACTGGTTTACATCTTAGGCAAATCATATCTATTTTATCACGTTGGCTTTTATGCTAAAATTTTGTTTGTTGAAGGACGGGTGGGAGTATCTGACAGTTTGAGACAGTAGCATGAAATAAAGAACTGTCGAGTTTATTTGGCACGTACTGATGTGCCCTGATGCTGTTGAGTAGTAGTTCGAAAAGTTGACAGGTACAGATACACATAAACACTATTACTAAACTCATACACAATTATTTATTTGAACACAAATATTGATACAAAGGGGCACCAAACAGATATACGCCACATAAATCACTCGATTTGTGTGAGGGGTAGGATACTCCACGGGTGACCAAACCGAAGCAGGTGGCTTTCTTAGGAGGCCACACCCGGAACCTCCGACCTAAAGGTTTAATCCACAAGGCAGTGGAGCAACGTCAGAAGATGCAGCCCCATGGTAGCCGATGATCAACAATTGGTTCATACGCTACTTGTTCCCTCAGGATACTGGAGTCCATGTGCACCACTGATTTAGAATCAGGGTTTTCCAACTCCCTGAGGTGGATCCTCCGTATCCACTAGTCCGGTTAAAGCGCCGGACATTCGCCTTTTGTCCTCTCAACCTCGTGAACAACACCCCCGCCACGATAAGGCAGTGAGTAGAAATTCCTTGGGAGTGGTTGTATACGCGTGGTCATGTGAGAGCGTTTCGAGAGGGAGAGCTAACTCTTCCAACCCTCGGCCGTACCAGGGCATTTGGGAGCATGGAGAGCCAGTCAGACAGTTAGTAGCAACATAGAACCTCGTACGTACGTACATCGGTTCGAGTTGCCATACCACATTAGCACAGATATGCAGTTGTCGATCCAAATCCCGTAATGGTAGAGGTGGTAAGAGTATAAACAGTAGTCGGAAAGGTTAAGATTTGAAAATGTTATTCAAGGAGTATAATTCAGTGAAATAAATTTGGAAAGAGAAAAAGAAAGGGGCATGAAGAATTCAGAAGATTAAAATTTTGGTAAACACAAAGTGTGAATGCACCTGCGCCATTGCAAATGATTTTCAGCCATGTCATTTAAGGTCTCTAACCATCGGTTGCTATCATTTTGCGGATCCCAACCAGGTAGTCTACACCTACCAACATGGTTCAGTCCATTTGTCAGTGACTTCATGGATTTGTGCCATGTTTTTGCCTGGCCGCCCCTAGCTTTCTTCCAGCCTACTTCGACACCATAAAACACCGCACGTCGAGACAGTCGGTCGTTGGGAATACGTAACGTGTTCCAGCTATCTCAACTGATGAAGTTTCACCACTTCATCAATTTCTTTGTCATCCTTACCTAGTGCCCGTTTTCTAACAACTGCATTACTTACTCGATTGTCCCAGGATATACGAGCAATGTTTCGAAGACACCTATGATCAAATACTAGTAACCTACGTATATCCTCTACTCTTAACGGCTATGTTTCACTTCCATAAAGTAGGACGGAACGAACTGCTGCGCAGTAAACACGTCCTTTGGTTGGTAGACGGATATCTCGCCTACGCCATAAGTGACGCAAGTTGGCAAAAGCTAGTCGAGCCTTTTGTGTCCGTGCTGAGATTTTGTCACATACCAGACCACAGGGACTGATGAGGCTCCCGAAATAAGTGAAGCGGTTGACACGCTCAACTACTTCACTCCCTATCACTAGTTCGAGTGTCGATGCAACCCAATCCTAAAGAAACATTTTGCATTTCGAGGAGAGAATCGCATCTCGGACATTCGTCACCGTCTATAGAGAATAGGCTGTTCCTCGATAAGCTGGTTACCTTCCGAGACATCATTGGATGTCACCATTTGATATCTCATCAACTTCATAAATTGTTTCATTCACACTAGACTCTGCGTCAGTGGCTCAGATAGGTTAAATAGCTTCCCGAAGTTGCCAGATGCTGGAGCTGTTTCTTAATTGATAGCACTCTTCGACCACCAAATTTTCACACGAAACGAAATTTTCTCAAGTAGGAACCAACGTTCACCATCAAAGTTGTGATTAGCCAGAGCAGACCGACGTTCCCTCAAGATTTGCTGGGAACTTAATGATTGATTACGATATGACCAACCTGATTTCAACCCAGCAACTTCTATATCGTGCATTGATTGCCGGTGCTGAGGTGGAGTGGGAAGAGTAAAGGTGGTCAATCTATGACATGATCCAGTAGTGTGGAAAAAAGCTTTTCAAGATTGGCATCTGCCGCCCTACTATGAATCACTGGATAGGGTTTTATAGATATTACAACTCAGTGACTTAAGACGTTATCAGATATTGCTCAGAATTAGAAACCAGTGGTGGATCCCGCTGTAGTTTCCTTCTATATTCCTCATAAAATAGAGAACTTCAACTGAAAGGATCCTTCTTATTCGTATCTTTTTAAAACTGACTGCCTATTACAATTCATCCTCGTTCACTCATTTCAATTCATTTGTTCAGTTGACCATCCTTCCATTCCTTTCTCTATCTCCACACAATGTCGTTTTCTTATTGGTGTGGGGCATATTTATTTTGGCGTCCAGTTGTACTAGTATTTATGTGTATAAATAAATGAGTAATAAGTACTTAGTTCGCTCATACAAAGGTTTGGAAATATACTATTTATGTTCTTCACAAAAGGTGATTAACAAATGAGCATGTGAACTTACCAAGAACACGAATATTTTCAGGTAGGGCTTTGTTTAATTTATTTAATAAATCTGTGTCTTCGTGTAACTTCGGGGGAGAATAAAAATTAGTTTAATCCACTAATAAAGAGACCTACTTGCATGGAACAAACTTGTCCAAGAGCGGAAACGGATTTGTCAGTTTTAGATGCACGTTGAAAATGAACCTGAAAGTCGGATGGAAATAAACAGAAGAATGAAATGCTGTTTAGCTCTTGCCACATATACTAATATATAATTATCAATAATTGAATGGTAGCCAAAAGCATGTTCGATATCGAGCAGCATTGTCCAATGTTGAGCAGAAACTTATTGAGTTGGGATTGAAAGTAACAAACATTAATTACCTTAAAGAAATAGGTTGTTTAATATAAAACAGATGGTAGCGATTGAAATCAACAACTGTCCAGTCACCAGAAAAGTGAGAAAATTGTTCATATTATTTCATAATATCACTAATTTTGTGATGAACACGCTGGGATAAACATCATTTCGATAACTGATGAAGACAATGTCTCAACCAACTTAATTCAGTCATAGGAGAGGTAGCTTGGTGGTTAGCATATCTGGTTTTAAACCAATGGGTCATAGGCTTGAACTCCGCTTCCTATATTTTAATCTAGACAACCAGTTAATATCTCCAAACCTTGTACATTGTAGTATGAATATATATATATTAGTTCTAAACAGCTGATTATACAATGTGGTTATAAATCAGTTAGTCATAAGTAAATAAGATTAAAAACGGGTTTTCTTGACGGGATGATAAGCAGAATAATAAAGTAATATACATTGGAGGCAAGTATACAAGTATATGTAAAGCAATAAACCTCACACCATCAGGTCAGAGGTGCGATTCTTGCTTCATTTACTTCAAAATGAGCGATGAAGTAGGTACACCAGTCCATACACAATATTCTTATTTTATTTTAACACATAGATATTGGTACAAGAAGGCACCAAACACATATGCGCCACACAAATCTCATTTAATATGTGTGAGGGCTGTGATACTGCCCGGGTGCTCAAACCGAAGCAATAATGGTGGCTCAGTACAAAAATCTTTACATGGTTATTGAGTTGCGGTACGAAACTACTGGTTTACATCTTAGGCAAATCATATCTATTTTATCGCGTTGGCTTTTATGCTAAAATTTTGTTTGTTGAAGGACGGGTGGGAGTATCTGACAGTTTGAGACAGTAGCATGAAATAAAGAACTGTCGAGTTTATTTGGCACGTACTGATGTGCCCTGATGCTGTTGAGTAGTAGTTCGAAAAGTTGACAGGTACAGATACACATAAACACTATTACTAAACTCATACACAATTATTTATTTGAACACAAATATTGATACAAAGGGGCACCAAACAGATATACGCCACATAAATCACTCGATTTGTGTGAGGGGTAGGATACTCCACGGGTGACCAAACCGAAGCAGGTGGCTTTCTTAGGAGGCCACACCCGGAACCTCCGACCTAAAGGTTTAATCCACAAGGCAGTGGAGCAACGTCAGAAGATGCAGCCCCATGGTAGCCGATGATCAACAATTGGTTCATACGCTACTTGTTCCCTCAGGATACTGGAGTCCATGTGCACCACTGATTTAGAATCAGGTTTTCCAACTCCCTGAGGTGGATCCTCCGTATCCACTAGTCCGGTTAAAGCGCCGGACATTCGCCTTTTGTCCTCTCAACCTCGTGAACAACACCCCCGCCACGATAAGGCAGTGAGTAGAAATTCCTTGGGAGTGGTTGTATACGCGTGGTCATGTGAGAGCGTTTCGAGAGGGAGAGCTAACTCTTCCAACCCTCGGCCGTACCAGGGCATTCGGGGGCAGCATGAGGCCTCGCCGAGAACCTAACTCAGGTCGCTCGATATAACAATAATTTTGATAATAATAGTTGTTGACTTACTCTTTTATGTTCTTCACCTGTCAGATTATCGAGTTGACCACAAGTAAATAGAGCTTTAGACAATTCTCCTTCAATAGTTGGAAAAACAGGGCATCTGATTGGAATTTTATTCACACAAACACAAAAACAGTAATAAAACACTACTGAAGTTCCAAATATATAATATAATCTTACAATTAGGAATAGCCAAACGGTTAAAAACATATAGGCGTGTAAAAATAAAATTTTCATTTAAGCGTTTTACAAAAATTGTTCTCAGCATACGAAGATGAAATTAGGGTAATAAAACATGTACCCCATGAAGATACTAATCAAATGTAAAAATTGAAGAATTGGAAGGAAAAACGGTGTACAAAGCATTAAGGTTAAACGTGAACTCTTATCCTTATATGGAAAACAAAAGTAAACCATATTTGTACAGACGATTATGACTCGACAGTATGTCCGAAAATGTAAAGATGCACGAGTAATCTCCACCTGAAAAACCCCTACTATCAAGCTTGACAATCAACCTAAGAGCTAACGTCTTAGGAACTTAACAGTCTATTTAAAATATTCGGTCCTCAAGAACCAGTATAAGATAACGACTATCAGTCAGATAAACCAAACCTGGAAAAAAGGATTTGTCCAAGTTTCCACGCTACAGCGAAATAAAATTAGCAATCTCAAAGTAGTAAAAAAGATTAGGTATAGGAAAAAGAAACGAAAGTTTTAGTGAGATTTCATAATTCAAGAATCGAAGGAGGATAAAGAGTGAATAGATGTGTGCCATTAGAAACGTCTTTGAGCCATGTCACTCAAAGTCTAACCACTAGTTACGATGATCACTCGGACCTCAACCAGGTAATCTGCGCTTGCCTACATTGCTCGGTTCACTTATCAATGAATTCATGAACTGATATCGCCTTGGTTTGACAGCATACTCCTCCATTAGGAAGCATAATTCGTCTAGTTAGCCGGTGGTTAGGTATACGTAAACATACATGCACAGCCTCAGCAAATGGAAATGGGTGGAAGATAATCAGGGGCGGCCAAACCAAAACGTGGAATCAGTGTTTGAAGTCACTAACTTCTGGTCTGAGCCATGTTGGTAGATGCAGACTACCTGGTCGAGGTCCGAGTGATCATCGTAACTAGCAGTTAGACTTTGAGTGACATGGCTCAAAGACGTTTCTAATGGCACACATCTATTCACTCTTTATCCTCCTTCGATTCTTGAATTATGAAATCTCACTAAAACTTTTCGTTTCTTTTTTCTATACCTAATCTTTTCCACAACTTTGGAATTGCTACTTGGTTGTGGTCCGCCTGTTTATCGTAACCAATGGTTGGAGACTCTTGATGACATGGCTCAGAATCGACCACAGTAGCGTAGGTGTATACATTCTCTGTCTTCCCTTAAACTATGAGATTAAAATCGCTTCATATCTTTCTACGAACTAATTCTATCTTCCTGTACTATATCCTTATTGCAATCTTTCTTTTGCAATTTAGCACCACTGGATTGACTGCTTCTATGAGTTCGGTCTTTACCTGTTGTGCTAATGAGGCGTTACAACTTGGACCGATGCACATATGTGCCTGGTCTTTCGTTGTGACTGACTTACTGACCACATCTATCTAATAGCCTATGTCTAACCTCAACACTTCAGTTGTCCTAGTATATATGAGCAGTGAACTGGTTTGACTTATCATTTAATTGAGAAATGGAAAGGAGGACAGTTATGAGCACTGGATATGATTCTGAGTTAAATCAAAGTTGATGTGCTGGTAAGAGCTTTAGTATCAGGTCCATGGCACTAGTGACACGTCTGATAAAAGCAATTCAAGTTTGAGTACGCAACCCAATCTTTTTTTGTGGATAATTTAGGAGATTGTATAAATACAAGAATACTTTTAAGACAGTTGGAATCCACCTGCGGTTTAATACTGCCTTCTTACTAATATTTGGTATTTGTGGCCATGTTTCGTAAACATATATGAAAGCAGAGCGAGCTGTTGGTCTTTTGTTTGGCAAACAGATGTCTCGATTACATCACAAGTGATGAAAGTTAGCACAATTCAACCGAGCCTTCTGAACCCGTGCCTAAATTTCGCGAGAAATCAAATTCAACACAGGTGATAGGAATGATTGTTCTAATGACGTCATTAACCCGACCCATTAATCCGGTCTCTTTATTGCATTATGACGAAGGACATTATGTCAACCTAAAACTTTTTGAATAATGGCGAACTACCTAGATAAGGTCTTTTGACTCTGATAGGTCAGTTAGCAGTGGCTTACGCAATGAATACAACTAAAGGATCCTGATCTTTAGTATTTTTATCTTCCTAGAAAAGCTGTTTACGCTTTTATGTAATATGATTCAGTTTATAGAATCAATCTCAGGTAGTAGTATTTTCGCATTCCTCGAAATTCTAAATCATCATTCACTGAACCCGAATATTGTAAATGGCACGTACTTCTAGAACACTTCTAGAGTGTATAAATAAATGTATATACTTTGTGCAGCGACACAGAAAATGTCCACGATGATAGAAGCAGCTGCCCTCACCATACAACATAAGATATGAAATTGCTTTTATTACAGTCGACAACAGTTTCCGTTAATCTATATTTTGTAAGGAGGTTTCGGTCAATGATACACACTTAAGGCATGTAGCATGTTAGCGAATGCTTACGTATACAAACACAATTAACTGTTCACAATCAAAAAGTCGAATAAATAGCGCATCAGATTGTCAACTAACCTTTGCATACCGTAATAACCCCAACCTGAATACATCAACAAAATGGCATTATTCCTACGTTTAGGTCTGGTAGAATGGTTGGACGAACCAGGGATTGATTCATCAACAATAGGTTTTGAAGATGGTTGTTTTAAATTGGCAATTTCGTAAGACTTCAAAACGGGCATCATAGAAAGAAAGAAATCACCGAGACGGTTTGACAGCCTTTTCATAAAACTTCACGTGAAATATTATCAATCTCTCAAACCAAGCTCTTTTTCCCGTTTCTCTTTAAAATAAGTGCTTTCGCGTAGTCTTGTTGCTGTTTTTTGATAATAGGTCGTTTAAATATATAATACTGGGCTAGTGAAATAACTGTGTACCCTGTCAGGACTACACCGAACATAAAGCAAGTAAAGACTGCACCACGATGAGCAGTCGTAAGAACACGGTTTAATGTGCTTCTTTGGTAATTCTTTTTCTGCATAATAGCATAACAGCACGACCACGCCGTGGCTGCTATTTGAAAACCCCTAATGTGTCCAACATCCAATATACAGTATTTGAAAACAAAACGCTGTGTAGGGATGATGAAGTTGGATAAATCACCAGCTTACCAAGTAAGTGAAGAGTGATTTGGTCAATGTTAATCAAGTGCAATTTGGAGGTTGGTTTTCGCAACTAATCCATGACCCCCGGAAAAGAGTTGTGGTATTTGTTGGAGGAGATAACGTTAATTCATTTCAAAGAACCACAGGAATAGTTGAAGTCAAGTCAGTAAGTTATGAGTTCTATTGATTTTGCGGCCGCTGAGGCAGTAAGTTGTCATGAGTTAGTTATAGGGAATTGCTGAAGACTATTTTTAAGAGAATTTATTAGCTTGGCAGGAATATTCTTATAGTCTTTGTTAGTAAATGAGTAGACTCAGGGCTGGAATTGCGATTGCGGAGTTTTTGTGGATGTGGCAAATCTGCGTTTTTAATAAAACATTAATACAACGTCCTGTCATGAATTGTCCAAGCTTTGGAACACTACAATCTTTCTAAATATTAAAAGTTAGTGAAGTGGGTAAGCTGTCCCAGCCAAGTTTAATGGATGCGGCATAATGCATTATTGTTTGCTTCACGTAATTTCAAGCAAACACTACGTGTTTGACAGACATTTTATTTAATTAATTAGGTATATTAAACTTTACGGGATTTTGCATGCACTGGGGTCTGTTATGCTTTATAGTCTGTAGCGGTAAATAAATCCCCAAAATAAATAGCCCTGTGAGTTTTCGATATTGGATGCTGACCATATGTTTTAGTGGACGCAACGTCTTCAATACGTTGCACAAACTTTCTCATCTAGGTGCCCGTGCAACCATCAAACTTATAGCAGAACGGTTTTGCTGGCCTGGAATGAATAAAAACGTGAGGGAGTGGGCACGCTCGTGTGTAAGCTGCCAAAAATCTAAGGTTATCAGACACAATAAATGTCCCTTAGGCTCATTTAAAACTCCCGATGCTCGTTTCGACCATGTTCATCTGGATTTGGTAGGACCTTTACCAGATTCAAATGGATACGCTTACCTCTTAACCTGCGTAGACCGTTTCACTCGATGGCCAGAAGCAGTACCTATCAAGGACATCACTGCTGAAACAGTGGCCTACGCCTTCGTCGAACGATGGGTAGCAAACTTCGGCTGCCCTTCAACCATCACTACAGACCGCGGACGTCAGTTTGAATCTGAACTTTTCCGTCGTCTGACCACACTTTTAGGAACCACTCGCTTCCGAACGACCGCCTACCACCCACAAGCAAACGGGTTGGTAGAACGCTTTCACCGACAACTAAAAGCTTCACTATCAGCTGCAAACGTTTCACAGTGGACCGACGCTCTTCCACTCGTCTTACTAGGTATCCGCAATGCAGTGAAAGCTGACATTGGATACACTGCGGCTCAACTCGTTTATGGAACGACACTTCGACTTCCAGGAGAATTCGTGGATCCTTCGTCCTCTTCAATGAACATGGATCTAACCTCCTACACGAACAGGCTTACAAACGCAATGCGTTCAGTTAAACCTGCTTCCACTCGACCTCAATCAACTGATGTTTTCGTTCAACCTGACTTACGATATAGTACACACGTTTTCGTTCGTCGAGACTCGCATCGACGACCTTTCGAATCAGCATACGAAGGACCTTTCAAAGTTCTTCAACGCGAACCGAACTACTATATAATCGATAAGAACGGAACCAACGATAGCATCAGCATCGATCGCCTCAAAGCAGCGTATTTAGAAGGAGATCCTATCTACGTCGATTTTCCCTCGGTACAATCGAACGACACGACTCCACTCATAATTCCTCAACCGACAACCAACACACACGATGATACTCCAAATGTATCTGAAAATAAACTTAAAACGACGCGTTCTGGAGGAAGAGTTAGACTTCCAGAGCATTTAAACGACTATTGCACGTAAGGCACTACTAGACATTTAATATTATCTCGATCATTCTTTTTACGATATATATTTTTAAAAAATGCAAGTTTAATATGCTTATATATTTTTATTTTTTATTCCAAAAAAACAAAAAAACCTTATGAATTTTTTTTAACGATATTACGTGTAAATTAGTTTATATTCCATTTTTTCGCCGACATTGTGTTTTTACGCATATACGAGTGTATTTCGACATGCACTTACATTTTCTTTTTTCTTTTCCAGGACGACTGGAAAAGAACCATGACGTTTATGAGGAACTGAAATTTTCATTGTACATTTTCTTTTTTTACTATGTTGTACCTCGGTCCTATATAGTAAGGAAAGACGACCAGACGCTGTTATTCCTAGCAAGCTATCAGAAGAGTGTTTACCAACGACAAACTCGCTGGGTTTAAACTTCTGGCTGGCCACGTCTTAGGGTCATCACTAACCCACTAGGGGGGGAGTGATCTGTAGCGGTAAATAAATCCCCAAAATAAATAGCCCTGTAAGTTTTCGACATTGGATGCTGACCATATGTTTTAGTGGACTCATCTAGCTGAAGGCGCTCGGTCAGTCATCCGCACCAGATGACGTGTGGTAACGCCGTGTTCAACATCAACCGCAATCGCTAGCCAGATTAGATCAGTGAAATTCCGATATATTGGTTATCGCCAAATACACTCTTCCGATCTCCTCGACTCTTTCTTTTGATTTCTCTGGGTGGGAACGAAATATATTAGGAGGTGTTACTGGTAGAAGCGTTGTCAAACACTGAATACCTGTGTCATCTTCAAGTCGTTCATTCTTTTAGTTTCATCCATTACTATGGTATTTCATCTTTCAGTTGTTATAACTAAATGGCCGTAAGTTGATTAGTGACGTATGGGATGCACCGAGCTAAACCATCTCTAGAGACCAAGAGCAGAATTTATGGAGTGAAGTGTTGTTACTAGATTTTAGGTGCTTGTTCACAGTTATTGAGTTATCGTTCTGCTTATGTCTAGATAAGTAGTGAGCGTTGCTATCAGTGGAATGCACCGGACGAAAGCCAGCTCAGAACCGAACTCACCGCTTTTTGTCTCAGCGAGCTTGAAAGGCTTGCGTTATGGTAGTCATTTCATATTTCAAGTACACGAGGTCAACTACGTGTTTGTAGGCTAGCCTAACTTAGTAGTATATGCGCATTTAGACCCGTATGTTGCAACTAACACCGAATGACATATAGCCATCTGTGTAGTGTGCTTTTTTCTAATTGTTGTTACCAGTAAAATGCGTGTCCACCTTAGTTATACAGATGCTTAAACATCTATCAGAGAAACTGAATCATACAGACATATTTCACGATTACGTGAAATAGAACGTAATTACCGTATTAACAATATTTTATAAAACATCCAATAATCCCTAAACACTTATTATCATATTCTCGGAAGTACGAAAAGGTAGACCGGTATTGCTGACGTAAACAGATGCGTGTGTAACAATCTTACGGTGTATACTGAATTTATCCAGATAAATCAGCAAATTTTTATGTCACCCAAAGTTAACACTGTTTGGATAACTTATTATCCTAAGGGCATATATATAGTACATCTACTCCACAACACAAAGTGCCTGTCTTCTTACCACTTAGATTGGTACTGCTTCGAATAACTCAATAACAGTTCATTAACGTCTTCATTAGGCAGGAGTTCATAAAATTATCTATAGGAATAATTAAAAACCTTAAGAAAAGCAATATATTCTCTATGATCGACGAAACAAAGATCATAACACTAATAGATATCCATTTAAGATATTCTGATTAACGACTGTTAAGCAAGGATGACATATAGTTACTTTAGAACATTGATCTTCCCAGAGGAGATAACAAAACACGAATCCTTCATATAGAGCAGGGACTGACTTACTGTCTAGTAAAACAATATGTTTAAAGTAAATATTGGTATTAGACAACCTGTAGTGTTTAATACGGATATATTAAATGCATACGGCTTCATTCTCATTCAAATACTACTATTATCATAGTCCATTTGTGTCCACTCGTTGATAATATTCAATGACTGTTCATTAGTTCTGTACATGCTATTTGATTCAAATACTTACAATCACATTGAGGAACATTTATATTCTAGTTTTTAAATCATTTATTTACTTTCAGTCATCTGCCATAAAATAGCCAATACAACATAACTTTGTCTCATAAATAACATACTGTTCTTTGAATTGGCCATTAACACGTAGACTGTATAAGCGTTCTACTCGAAACAAAGCAAACGAACAAGCAGTCACAGTTTATATAAGTTATCACTGTGGTCCTAGATTTTCAACACTTGCCATCACAAAGGCTATATATTATACATTAGTAGTTAAAACACTGATGATTTAAAATACATGTCAGTTAGCTAGAAATAACTGACATTGTTACCACCGTCTGATTTGGGATAAAGTTGTTGATGTTTACCACGTGATAGTCGAGCTTTCGTTGACACAGTTCAATAAACAGAGAATGTTAGTATTTTACGTCACGAACGTTCAATGTCAGGGATAATTTCATGGCCTTTTGACTTCAACAGATAAGATCTCGTCAACCGAGTATTTAAGTAGTGCCATGAATTTATTCAAGAATGTTCAAACGATCGAACAGCAGTTGCTGTGGTGTCGTATTGTTAATAGTCAGTAAGATCCTCAACCACGCAAAAGGCAAGCATACCGGGAAGCCAGAGTGTGAGTCGAAAAATCTCTCTGTAACT